CGGCGTGGGGTGGAAAAATGCCTGGGTCTGGGCCAGGGCTGGAGTTGAATGGTTTTAAAATGAGACCCACCGTTTTGACAATCCTCTGCAAGCCGGGACTCTTTTCGGCCTTCCTGGCGACCTTGTACGTTCATGAGCCCACCCCTCCTCCCCGACGGGGCCCCCTCGGCCAGCTAGTCTCGGTTGGTGGCAGAGCTGAGGCCAAGGCCTTGGGAGTATGTTTGGATGGTCGTGGGGCCAGGACCGGGACTTGGGGCTGTTGGGTCACCCCAAACACAGGGAAGGTGATAGCTGGTCAACCTCATGTGGCGTCGCCAGCCATGACCAGCCTGGTTTAATGGTGAAGTTCTTGATGAGGGAAAGTGGGGGTTTCAAACCTACTCAAAGGCCCCTCAAAAGAAAGGCCTGATGATCCACTTCTGAAAAGTCCCACACCTGAAAACTCTGGAGCCCAGTTCCTCAGATGAGGGGGGCCATGAGTCTGAATCAACTCCATGGGTACTGGTGGGGATCTGGGGGTGCCAGACTGCGCCTTGGCCAGGTCCTCTGCCGGCCGTGCTAGGCTGATTGCAGCCGCCTTGGGGGGCTGACGTTGCCTGCAGTGTGAGGGCCCCATTGGGGTCTGGATCTGTAGCAGGCCTCTCGGACAGGTCAGCATCTTGACTCTGGGCCTGCAGAGAGTGGGCGCAGCTCTCCCTACCTGGGGTGTCCATGTGGTGGAAGGCTTCCTTCTATCTGTGCAGATAGCATGCCTTTGCAGAGCCAGCGGTACCCCAGGCCATAGGGCTAGCGGGCCGCAGGCAGGCAGGTTTGTCAAAGCACCAGTGCTGGGGGTCTTACCTGATGCTGGGGCACTTTGGAAGGGTCCTTTGCCTGCCAGGGCCCGACCTGCTGTCCCCTGTGCACTCTGCTCACCCAGCAGCGACTACTGCCCAGGGCCCCTGCCCCCCCACCTCTGCCCTGCCCACGATTCTCGACCTTTCACTGTTATAAATAACCCCAGCTGTCCCCCGTGTGCCCTTTGGGCGCGTTCCTTGAAGTGTGTTCCCAGAAACCCAGTTACTGGGTCAGGGGCAGCAGAGCAACCACGTGGCTCCCAGGACGCATCCCCGGAGCCTGCTTCCTGGAAACACCGGTTCGGCTTCTGTGGCAGATGCTGGCACAGGGCGCCCTTGGGCTGTGCCTGCCCCCACTGGCCTCCTTTCCCCCCCGGCAGGTGACCTGCTGACCTTCTGGAATCTGTTTGGTGGCGAAAACCCATCTCACAAGGTTGGCGCTTCCCAGACAGGCTGTCTGAGGTGTCCCCTTCACCTTTTTACCACGGTGTCCTCCTCCCGGCCCTTCCTCCGTTGTTCCTGAACATTTTTCTCTTGCCGCCCCCCACCCCCAGGTCTGACACTTATTTAATTTTCTGGAAAAGAGAGCTCTTTGTGTCCCCGGCTCCTAGCAACCCCACGTGTGTGTGCAGAGGAGCCCTTCTCCATGGGGCTCTGACCTTTGGGAGCAGATAGCCAGGGCTTGCACTGTCAGGCTTTCGCCTGGTCATCGAGCACACGTGACCAGTCGTTCCCTCCACCTCAGGGTCTGCTTAGGGTTGCCATGGATTGAAATCAGCTAGCCAACAGCAGCACACACCGCTGGCAGATCAGAAAGGACAGACAGGAGAAGAGAAGCCACCACTGTCGCCTCTCACACTTGTCACATGGCTGGTGGCCAGAAACAAAACCCAGTGTCTGCTAGGGCAGTGGCAGATAGTGGGCGGCAGCCAAGACCCAGGGTCTGAGCTGCCTGGTCAGAGGAAGGGGGCCCCTGGGGACCTGTCCCTGCTCAACCTCGGGGTCACCACCTTCAGGGACGCTTCAGGATTGAGAGGGGGCAGAGGTCCTCTCGGCCTCGCAGACCTGGCTCCCTGTCATCCTGTCCATTTCCCTTGACAAGGAGGGACCACACCCCTTGGCTTGGGACCCTGCCCCCTGCCTGGTGTATTTTTTTGTGTGACTACTTTTGTCCCACCCCTGACCTCAGTGTCCCCCAAGGTCTCCCCACGTGCTGCTGTTTTTCTCTCGTTTGTTCCCCACCCCCATGGGCAAGCTTATTTGTACCTAATTATAGATTTTCACATTTATCCTCTTAACATTTTTAGCCTGTCAGCTCTGGCCAGTTTCCCAGCCATCCCTAGGGGCACTCCAACCTCCCCTCTGCTAGCCTGGGCCAAAGGGTCCATGGTGGGAGCAGCTGTGTCTGCTGGGGCCTCCCACCCCCGCCGGTCCTGGATCAGTGTCTCTGGGCAGCAAGTGGGGCCAGAGGCTCACTCGGGCCAGGAGGCCACGGGTCATGTGGGACATTGGCGTGTCCACCCTGCCCCATGTCGAGATCCTTTTGAGAGAAGATCTCTGGTTATTTTCTTGGGTATACTGTGGACCACAGCGTTGGTGGTTCAAGCCCACCAGCTGCTCCTTGGGAGAAAGACGGCACTGTCTGTTGCCAGGAAGCTTTTGTTAAAACCCTGGGAACAGCGTGGCGTCGGGGCTTGCCATGCCTCAGAATCTACGTGATAGCCTGGGATTTAGATTTGGGGAGAGGGGACGTTCCCAGATGGTGCAGCCAGTTATCAGGCTCCGCTGCTAATTTTAAAGACTAGCTGTTTGAGTCTACTCCAGGGTCCCTTGGGAGAAAGTCCTGGTGGTCGACTTCCAAAAAAGTTACCTAGTTCCCAGGGAGCAAGGCCGACTCAGGGACTCGCCTCGCTCACTCTGCCAACTCTCCCCATCACTGGACTGGCATCCCATTGTAAGCCGCGGGGCACCTTTTCTGTGCCTGACTCAATTCCCAGAGGATAGTGTGACAGAAGCCCTCGGGTGGCCCTGCTCTGTCACCCCTGGGGTCTGTTTCCTAGGGGCATCACACTTCCCCCCACACCTCGGGTTCCACTTGTGCCAAACCAGAGCCCCGGTGCTTCTGACAGGTGGAGGGCCCTTAGTTTTGCCAGTGGGGCCCATCCACTTTGCCAGCCAAATGGCGAGTCCGGGGGTGGGCCTGCTTCCCGGCCGATGGTACCACCGGCTTCACTGGACACTCTAAGGATGATGTCCTCAAGGACCCTTTATTCTCTGGGGCAGCAGATGTTCTGTGCCACCAACAATGCTGCGTTCATCACGGCCAGTCCTGTGGCCACGGCAGTCTGCCAAGGGTGCCAGGTGGGCAGGTCTCCCTGCCATCAGCTGCCCGTGCCCGGGGCTCCATCCTACTCCGGCTTCCACAGGCCTCTCTGGTGACCCTGGTCCCTCAGCTGCTAGTCCCCCAACTGCAGTGGGATTGGTGACACCAGCATTGTCCCCAGGCTGAACCTGAGAAGCTGAGCTGCGAAGACCGCTAGCCCACTGGCCTGGAGCCTTGCCTCGCAGATCCCCTCGGGGCTGGGGGCACCCCAAGGCGGGCAGCTGGGCAGGCCTGGGAGGGGGCCTGCTCTCCAGGGGCCGGGGGAGGACCGAATGGGACCCCTAGGGCACCGCTGGAGCAGACCATGAGGGCTTGCAGGGATGGGGGCAGTGGTAAGCAGCCGCCTGAATTCCCTGCTCCTGAAGGCACGAGAGGTGGAGCTAACCTCCTGGCCTGGCCGGTGTCCCATCCTGAGATGCTGTGGGAAAGGGGTGAGAGATCAAGGGTGGGGTGGGGGGGTGGGGAACGATGGCACTACTGTCCGGCACCTGGTCCAGCCAGGTGATGGCAGGGGGGTGTCCTTGGCGCTGGGCCTTGGGCCCACTACCACCTCTCCCCACCTCTTCCCCGTCTCCTCTGCCTTTCAAGACAACAGAGCCCATTTTAGTTGAACCCCCAAAGAGGAAGGAGAGGACCCCATCCCCTTGCCCCCCCTTTCTAGGCTGGGCCTGGTGGGGCTGAGAGAGAGGAGAAGCTTCAACCATGTAGTTAGAGGGGTAAGCTGGCATCCTCGGCTTCTTAGTGGTGGTGGTGAGATAGGAAAGTAAGTGAGAGCAGGTTGAGCGGAGCTGGGTGCTCAGGTGGGGAGGCATTGGCTGGAGGGCAGGACCTCAGGCATTTGGACCACAGCCCCTGACCCCCATGGGCTGTGCCAGCAGGAATGAGGCCGGGAGTCTGGAGGGAAGAGGTGAAGCCAGTCTGGCCTCTGCTTGGTGGGGCTGAGCCCACCATGCTCATGGTGAAACCCAGGCCTGCTGGGTGCCTCAGGCTCAGTCTCCTGACCTGCTTAATGGGTCCTGGGAAACTTGTGCAAGGTGACGGCCGGCAAGGACTTTCCCAGCCCAGGCTCCTCTGTGACCCTCCAGAGCAGGAGAGGGTGCCATGGCTGTCCGTGGCCCCCGGATGGCCTGGGCAGCCTCCAGGGACGATTCTGAACAGTCGTGGGTGGTGCCACCAACCTCTTGGGCAGTGGCTGGACCGACAGACCTTGGGTACTTTCCGTGGGCCGGCTTTGTGCCAAGTCCTGGGAGAACCAGGGGCCAAGAAGGCGAAAAGCAAATGGGTGAGACTTCAGGGTGGGGGAGGGCCGCAGAAGCGAGAAAACGCAGAAGAGGGTCTGGGGGTTTGGAGGGGTTGGGGCTATAAATAAGTAAGAGAATTCCAGGTGTTTGAGGAAGCTCGTGAAGCCAGAGGAGATTCCAGAGGGCCCAGGTGGGCGTGGGGGTCCCGGGACAGTGAAGGGCTGGGGCAAAGCCTTGCGGTGTGTGGGGAGGGTGCGGACTTAGCCGAGGGAAGTGGGAGCCGGAGGGCCCTGATTCAAGTGCTCATAGCGCCCTCTGGTGGCCTTGTGGAGAAGAGTCTGTGATGTGTGAGCGCTTAACCTGATAGATTGGAGGTACAAATCCTTCGCCGGTGTATTCCTCTTCTAGATAAACTCACCGCCCCCTAAGCTTCCTATCTAACCTCTTAGTGTGAGCCCCTGTAGGAGCCCTGGTGGCTCAGTGGTTATGTGTAGGGCTGCTAACCACAAGGCCAGCAGTTCAAAACCACCAGTTGCTCCAAGGGAGAAAAGACGAGGCTTTCTACTCCAGGGCAGTTCTGTTCTGTCCTGTAGGGTCACCGTGGGTCTGAATTGACTTCTTGAGCTTGGAGTGCATCTTTAAAAGAGTAGTGCTCACAGTGCATCCCCACTCCACCCCTCACTAGTTAAGCTAGAAAGGGGTTCTGGTGGTCAGAACTGACCAGAACTTGGCTGTGAGCTTGGAGTATAGGGGTTAAACTAGATGGTTACTTGGCTTAAAGACGACTTCAGGGGAATCTCTGTTTCCAGGTTTAAAGATTATCTCTAGGCAATCATGCCAGGGCCTCATCCTTGGCTCCAGAAAGTCCAGAGCCCGTGAGATTTGAGATTCTGTTCCATATCCCCCACACACACACTTTGACCAGGATTTGTCTATAGAACCTTTGATGAAAGCATTCAGTAAAGGTGGCCAGCACCATCTAGTTTTTCCCAAGTCTGATTTTGCTGCTGGGCCCCTGAACTTGCTCTGTGAGGAAACTGAGGCACAGGTGGGGCGGGTATCTCATTGCCGGCCACTGCCAACTCCCAAGACAGACCCAGAGAGGGAAGAATCTGACAGAACACTGCCTCGTTTTCCTTGGTTACCGGCGGCGCCGTGAGAACAGACATTTACTGCCTGGCCGTCCCGGGTCGGAGAGGCCAGGTCAGGGCCCATCTCCTCCCATCTGAGGTCTGGGCCATCCTCCTTTGCTTGTAGCCAGGCCCTCCCAGGGCCCCTCTCTGTGTGTCTCTGTCTCACTGGCTCCTTTTATAACTCAGAAGTGATGGGTTTTGGGACCTACAGGTGGTGGTCTGGCCTTATGAATGTAACCAAGGGAAACCCCTGTTCAGTTGCTTAACAGGTTCCCACCTACAGGTCCAGGAATCCAGCGCTCATTATATATTCGGGGGGGGGGGCACAATTCAGTCTCTTAACACCCCGCCCCCCACCAAAAACAGCAACAGCTATCAAGATAGTGACTTACTCAAATCCCTGCCTGTCTGCAGAGCCCTGTACCCCCACACTGCTGTGTTTTCCTGAAGATCTGAGGCACTGTTTGCTTGTGCTGTAGGAAGCCTGGTGCCTGGGGGCCAGGGATCCAGGAACGCCTGACCCAGTGGCTGCGATGGGGAGCCCGAGGAAAGTGCCATGGGTGGGTGTGGAGGAGCAGGGACCTAGTGGGCAGGCTCCTGGCTCCAACTTGTACAGGTGTCCCCTTAGCACCCCACCCCCCACCCCCACAATGTTGCTCATGTGGAACTTGAGCATGGGTCCTTAGCCTTGGCTGACACACTTGTGTGACCACCCCCCTCGCTCCCCACACCATGATACTCCCCTGGGACCTGGCATGGATGGGTGACCAGCTCCGACACATGTGTGCACCCCCCCCACACACACACACCCCTGGTGTTAGCATGGACTTACTGTGAGCACCTAGTTCTAGCACATGTGTCTCAGTCTCCCCTACTATGGTGTGTGTGTGTCCATGTGTATCCGTCTGTCCGTCCATCTCAGTCTCCCCTGCCATGGGGGTGTGTGTGTCACAGTAGGGGCCCACTGTGGGTGCCTGGTTCTGGCTCACATGTGGGAGAGAGAGAAAGAGAGAGAGTCTATGTACCGTGGTGCTTATGGGAGACCTACGGGCACCCAGCACATGGGCGCAAGTGTGTGTGTGTCTCCCAGTGTATGTGTTTGTGTGCCACAGATGGGACCTGCTGTAGACACTGGTCCTGGCTCACACCCATATCCCCCCCTCCCCCCACAGTTGTGCTCATTGGGGACTCGGGCGTGGGAAAGAGTAACCTGCTGTCCCGCTTCACCCGCAATGAGTTCAACCTGGAGAGCAAGAGCACCATCGGCGTGGAGTTCGCCACCCGCAGCATCCAGGTGGACGGCAAGACCATCAAGGCGCAGATCTGGGACACGGCCGGTCAGGAGCGCTACCGCGCCATCACCTCGGCGTGAGTGCAGCCGGGGCACGGCTGGGGGGGTGGCTGCTCCCCTCACCCCAGTGAGCCCCAGGGTTCCCCTCAGAGGCACTGCCTGGAACCCGGAATGCAGTGAGGGCTCACCATTAGAGTTGGGCCCAGGCTGTTGGTGCAGCGCTGTGAGCATAGTTGGTTACACATTGGACTTCTCACCTCAAGGACATTAGTTCGAAATCACCAGCTTCTGTGGGGGCGAAAGATGAGGCTTTCTGCTCCCTTCAAGAGTTGCAGGCTCAGAACCCCACAGGGGCCCTTCTACCCTGTCCTGTAGGGTTGCTCTGAGTCTGAATCAACTTGATGGTAGTCAGGGTGTGTTTTCTTTCGTTTGCTGAGCCCCCACCAGGCACCCTTGCTGCGGGCTCAGGATCCCCAGAGCAGCTCCCACTGGTTCCCAGTTTAGCAGCAGGGGTGAGGGTGGGAGTGAGGGTGTCTCACTAGTCCCTCGGGTTGGGTAATAGGCTTGCTCGAGCCCCAGGAGTCAGGAAAGCACTCAGCACCCTCTTGTGCTTTGGGTGAAACTGTACAAAGCAGATTGGTTTTACAACCGCACAGTTTGGTGACATGGTGACACCCCTTCTGAATTGCTCCTCCTACTGAAGTTTAGAAAGAACTCCTCCTTCACCCCACCCCCACGACTTTCTGATCTAACCTTTCCCATCCCTTTGACCCCTTTGGACCCTTCTTAAGAGAACCCAGCGCTCTAGGCCAGCATCCTTTACTAGTGAAGCTACACTGTTTGGTTTTAAGGCCTCTGGGGATATTCTAGGAGTTTTAAAGGTGACCTCAGGGCAGTAGTTTTGGGGGTTCATCTGATCCCACGGCTGTGGAAAACCTGGGTTCCTTTAGAACTTGAATGTTTGTCTTACATTTTCCCCTTTAGATCAAGATTCACCCATCAGTTTTTCCATTTGCAAATCCGTGTCAGTTTGTGCAACCTTTACGATCGTTCCCAAATGTCTCCACCCCCGTTAACTGAATGAAGCTCAGGGTCACTGAAGCAACGACTTCCTCTTTCCCCGACCCTCCGGTGGCCACTAATAAACTCTGGTCTGTGTGCTTGCCTCTTCTAGATAATTCACTTCAGCAAGACCAGATACTTGTCCTCTTGCTGGGTGCCCATAGATCTCCCATAAGCACCTATAGGGTCGCTAGGAGTCGATGGTGAAGGGTTGGGTTTTTATTTAATTTATTTTTTTGGCGGGAGGGTTGGGTTTTTCATGGGAGTTTCGTGTTTAGGAATCTTGAGGAACTGCCAGAGTGTTGGCCACGGCAGCCATACCTTCCTGCCGTGGCACCAGCCGTGGCACCAGCCGTGGCACCAGCCGTGGAAGAGGGAAGGGGCCTGCTTTCTCCACAGCCTCCTCCGCACCCGTCCTTGTCTGCAGTAGCTCTCCCAGTGGGTATGGCGTGGCTCGCATCCTAGTGGGTGCCTCTCCCCTGTGACGGAGAGCGTGTCAAGTACCCTACCCTGTGCTGCGTCCAGCCAGGTTCTCTGCTGTCGCCGCTGCCTGGCCATGTCCCTCTGCTCCCCTCGGTGTCACCTCTGTGCTGCGGCTCTCGGCTGCCCCACACCCCTCCTGTCTCCCTGAGGCCTGCCAGCCCTGGCCACCACTCGCCAGCAGAGCCCTTGGACAGAGGTGCCCATTGCAGGAGCCCACATCCAGTGCTGGCCAGGCCCCAGCACCTGGGGCTTCACCCAGCCATGGCCTCCTGCTGCCTGGGTGTTGCCTGCTCCCTTTTTTGCCCCTGCGCTGGGCCCCCTACCTGACCTTGGAGCCCCAGATTTCTGGGCTGAATCTGAGGAGCAGAGCCTGGGCCTCAGGACACACATATCCCTCCAGGCACCATAGTAGCCACCCTTGGCTAGGCCTTGGGGGTGGAGGTGGGCAAGGAGCTCCCTGAGGTCCTAGTGGGAGCTGCTTCCCCGGCTGAGGGAGGCCGAGAGGCTCACTCCTGGGGCTGCGCCCGACAGGTATTACCGTGGTGCGGTGGGCGCCCTGCTGGTGTACGACATCGCCAAGCATCTGACGTACGAGAATGTGGAGCGCTGGTTGAAGGAGCTGCGGGACCACGCCGACAGCAACATCGTCATCATGCTGGTGGGCAACAAGAGCGACCTGCGCCACCTTCGGGCCGTGCCCACGGACGAGGCCCGCGCCTTCGCAGGTGAGCCGGCACCCTGCGGCCCCACCTTCCCGAGACACCAGGAATGCGGATGTGGTGGCCTTGTTCCCATGGGCACAGCACCAGTCCCCCCTCTCCCTGAGGAGTGGGTATTGGTCCTGACCCTCAGCGCCAGCCTGTGGTTTCCTGGTCCAGGGTCACCAAATTTGCCAGTGGGCCAGGCAGGCAGGCCCCCAGCTCACCTGAGCTGTATTTTCTCTGTTCCAGAAAAGAACAACCTGTCCTTCATTGAGACCTCCGCCTTGGATTCCACCAATGTAGAGGAAGCCTTCAAGAACATCCTCACAGGTGGGCGGGCCCAGAGCATGGGAGGGGTCAAGGCGACTCCAGTGGGCTCAGCCAATGTGGTGGAGCACAGACACATGGGCCACACACACCATAAGTCGGCCCTGACCCTGGCATCAGTGTGGACACGGGTGGACATGATCGTCTCCACACAGGCAGGCTAGCCCCTCCCCTGCTAGTGTGGGGGACACAGAGCTCCTTCATTCAGCTCCCATGTAGAGGGCATGGGGAGTCTTGCTAGTAGGGGGGACACAGACCCTTCTGTCAGCTCCCACGTAAGGGGAATGGGTGGCCAAGGTCAGATGCTTCTAAAAGCCCAGTCCTGGGAGCCCCTCCTACCCTTGTCTCCCCTCATGTCTGTCCTTTGGAGGGGGATTCCTGAGCCCTGCAGGGAGGCTGCCCTCCTGGCAGGGGCCCTGCGACCCTCCCTCACCCCCTGCCTCCGGCCCGCAGAGATCTACCGCATCGTGTCACAGAAGCAGATCGCAGACCGCGCAGCCCACGACGAGTCCCCGGGCAACAACGTGGTGGACATCAGCGTGCCGCCCACCACCGACGGACAGAAGCCCAGCAAGCTGCAATGCTGCCAGAACCTGTGACCTCACCCCCGCCCCCTCCACTGCCCCGAGCCTGCGTGCACGTCCTCATCCTCCCAGCCACCCGCCTCCCCTATCCCCCTGGGACCCCTGGCTCCTGCCCTCCCCATGAGCCCCCGGGAGCCGGAATCCAGCGGTGCCTGCCTGTCCCTGCCCTCCACTTCTGCCCCTCATGGGCCCCAGGGGCTCCTTGGTGGGCAGGGTGCACAGGCTGGCTGGCTGAGCATGCTTCTTGCATTTTCCACGGCAGACTCCCTGGGACTGGTTCCCTCCGCCCTCTCTCTCTGGCTACTGGGCCCAGCCGGCCCCTCGCCCCACCCTTAGCCCCTCCAGGCTAACACCACAGAGGCAGGAGGTTGGCAGGGTGAGGGCAGGGAGCGGAGGGCAGGCAGACCCTGGGCAGACACAGGGCATCGCACATGCTCCCCAGATTTGGCCAGCATGCCCTGGACGCCTCCAGCTCCTGCCTGCAGAGAAGCCCCTCGACCCCCGTCACCCCTCCGTTCTGCACGCAGCTCACGCTCCACCTGACGCCCACCCCTGTCATCTCCCCCTCTGGTCAGGAGCCTGCTCGCCAGGGAAGCAATATCTGTGTTTTGTACATACGACCGCTCATGTGGCCTCTGGTTTTTGTTATTGTAGAGACAGACACGTATTCTTTATACACTTTGTCAGATTGACGCCAAACCCCCGCTGTCGACCTCTTCTTCGCCCCGTGCCACCGCACCGTCCCCCTCAACGCCTCGCGCCCCAGACTAAAGTGTGTACCCGACTTCTAGACGGAAACCTGAGCCTTTGTCTTCTTTCCTCCCTGCCTGAGACCCCGCCCTGCCCCAAGACAGGGCGTCACAGGGATGCACCCCAGAGCCTGCGGGGCGCTGGACGCCCCTGCACCTGTCCACAGCCCCGTGGAGTCCCCATGTGACTTGGTAGGGTCTTGGGGCTGGGTGACGTGGGGTGGGCCCAGGGTGCCTCTCCAAACCACTTTCAAAACAGGGAGACTACATGAAACATGGCCAGAGGAGACTGGCTGTCTCTTGTTCTTTGAATAAAAGAACCAATTTTAACCCACACCTTCCGAACTCCAGTGGAAGGCGTGAGCCAATAGCACAAGCCTTGGCATCAAAAAGCCCATCCCCCTGCCTCCTTTTTAAAATTTTTTTTTTAACATACCTATATTTGTTGTTGGGAGTCTACACAGTAGAACACCCACCCATCAAACCGTTTCCACACTTGCAGCTCAGCGACACTGTTGACGCACTCAAGGTGGACAGCCATTCCTGCCCTCATTGTCTGTGCTATTCCACCCTGTGAGCATGAATCTGCCTCTGAGCTTTCTAGCCGTTCCTGTGGTTAATTTGATCCCAGGGGTCTACACTCAGCATGAAACCCCATAGCCCTCAGGCCCTTAGCCCCGAGGACCTTCACCTCTGCAGCTGAGACACTGCGGACCTGTCCTGAGCAAGAGACAGTCTGGTCCGTGCCCACTGTCCACTCCCAGCCCCATGCTACCCATGCCTTGTTCCCACCTGGTCACCTGGTCAAGCATCATAAGGCAGGCTTGCCAGGAGGGAGGTTCCAGTCCACATACACATTCCCCACAACTGACGTTTGAGGAGGCTGATGACAGGGGAGTTGAGCAGTGTGTAAGTTTGGGATCTCTAGAGAAGCAAAGCAATGGTGCTACTAGGTGTTGTATTCCGGAGATCTCTGTCATGACCTACACAATTATAGAAGCCGGTAAGTGCAGTCTGGTTCAAGCCAGGGCTCTGATTTGCGTAGCTGTGGAGGCTGATGAATGGGAAGGAGGAGGATGTACAGGCTAGTGGGCACAGAGGCAAATGAATTCAAGGCCAGCCAAATGAGCCCACTATAGGGAGTCCACGGACGACTCCTGGGGTGGCAGACTGCACAACAGGAAATTGAAGCAGACCGCAGGACCAAGCTGTAGCCGAAGGCAAAGGACCAAAGAGAACCCAGCTCTGTCCCCCTGGGGTCTCACACAAAAGGCCACACCCCTGAGGAGGTGTCATCAGGCCACCTGATAGGTTGGACTCTGCCCCTGTCTTCACCCTGATCCGTAAATCTCTAGAGAGAGATTTCTATCAAGAAGTGGCACACACAGTTGTAGAAGTGGATATGTCCAGTTCCGTTCAAGTCTGTGGGTCAGATGTCAGCTGGAGGCTCTGGCTCCTGTAGCTGCAGGGGCTGATGAACAGGAAGAGGGAGAGCACAGGCTTGTGGGTGCTGAGCTGAGTGAATCCAATGTTGGTCTCCGCTGATGGCTCTCCTGGGACCGGCAGGCAATATCACAGTTTTGTCTGTTTGTTTTTAAATGATAGAAATACATTTTATTTTTTTAAAATAGTTTTATTGGCACACATCCGATTCAATGTTTGATCATTATCAAGAAGAAGAGGTGTAGAATTATTACCACAAACAATTTTAGAACATTTTCTTTCTTGTACTCATTGCTATTAGCTTCCCATTTCCTCCCAACCTCTCCCACCATACCCCCCAAGAAACCATTAATCCACAGTTACTGTCTCTAGAGATTTACCTATCCTGGATTTTATATGCAGGAAGATATGCCAAAACCCAGCAGAACAGAAAAACCTCAATCGAAAAGAAAGCAGTAAATATTAAAATTTAAAATATTAAATATTAAAATAAAAAACTAGAACATTCAAAATGGGTCAAAAGGGAAGTTTGGATGATAAGGGGTTAAATTTTTACTTAACTGCAACTGCAGGAAGCCACGATTCTAATCGGGATTTTGGGGTTTTTTGAAGCCAGCCTAAAGAGATGTAACAGCTTGTCCACAGCCACCTACTGATCCCAGAAACATGTTAGACCTGTTTTGTTTGGAATCAACCTGTGTGTGGATGGGCTGGGGACCTCAGTAGTCAGTTGTGGCTGGTTCTCTTGGGCTCTGCCCACCCCACCTGGAGCGCTGAGGAAAGCCAGGTGTGGAGCAGCCCCTGGGGAGTCATTTACCAGTCAAGAGTGGCCTGTTTGCGTCGTGGCTACAAGTTGGCCAGCGATCTGCAAGTTTAGCAGTTCGAACCAACCAGCCGCTCTTCTACGGGGGACACACAGGAACTTTCTACTCTTAACAGTCTCAGATGCATTGACCCGGTGGCTGTACCAACGGAGTCAAACAACCGTTGTGAGGATGGTGCACAATCCGGTGGTGCTCCAGGCCGCTGTGCACTGTTGGCACCTAGCCACAGCAACAGGCACCCCTCATGAGAAGGATGCAGCAGTCTGTTTTTGTACATCACCAAACCTAGCCGGGTGTCTTCCAGGGGATTCGGAGTCTTTGCGACCTCACAGGACCCATAGGACTGCCCCATACGTTTCCAAGGCTGTCGTCACTCTTGAAGGAAGCAGACGCCTCCTCTTTCTCCCTCAGAGCCACTGGTGACCCACATCTTGAGTTGAGGACCCACTCCGTGCTAGATGACAGCAACGGCGAGCCAGAAACAGGAGCCCTGGGGGTGAAGTGGGGTATGTGTTGTGCTACTAACTGCCAGGTCAGCAGTTCGAAACCACCAGCTGCTCTACGGGAGAAAGAGGAGGCTTTCTGCTCCTATAAAGAGTTACCGTCTCAGAAACCTACAAGGGCAGTTCTACCCTGTCTTCTAGGTTCACTGTGAGTTAGCATTGACTCAGTGGCATTGAGTGTTTCATTTTTGATTTTTTTTTGTTTTGTTTGTTTTTAAAGAGCCAGAGGTGCTGCCAAATGGGGAAAAGGCCCAGATAAAAAGATTAACCAAACGTTAAAACTTTATTATGGAAAATTGCAAACAGATGCAAAAGTCAGGCCATGGTAGTGCAAAGGGTTAGGCGCTTGGCGTTAGGAGAGTCTGGTAAACCTCCTAAATGTGGGCTTTAATCTATCAATTCATCCTCCCCATGCCCCTCCCACTTGCAAATCCCAGACAGGCCAACTAGGAAGCTTCCACCAGTACATAGCTGTAAACATAAAGACTCTGGTAGCATGATCTCAATCTAAACACACTTTTAGCTATGCATAAAGACCACGGGTGGTACTGTGGATAAGCATTGGGCTGCTAACCTCAAGGTGAGAGGTTGAAGCCCACCAGCCGCTCTGGGAAAGAAAGATGAGGCTGTCCACTCATGAGGATTTACAGTCTCAGAAACCCTATAGAGGGTCGCCGTGGGCTGGAATCGGCTCTACGGCAGTGGGGTTGGTTTGGATTTAAAGAAATTAATACAGACGCCCCTGGGAGTGGGACCTACTTCTGATCCTCCATCTGTCTTTAAATAGAATTTGTAGGTAAATTGGAACTGTTAGGTATATGCTTCATGTCTACCATCAGTTAGCCAAATGCTTGTCTCAGTACAGTGCATAGTGTATTAAAAAACACTGCCAGATACACTAAAACATCTTTAACATAATGATATCTCGTTGTCATTGGGTCAATTCTGACTCACAGCAACCCTATAACTGCCCCCGTGGGTTTCTGAGACTGTAACTCCCACCCCCACCCCCACCCCCACAGTTTGTTGGCATATGAGTCACACATCATACAATTCAATAATTCAATGACATCCAGACGACTTGTACAGTAATTACCACAATCCGTTTTAGAACATTTTCTTCAATCTTATTATTAGCTCCTCACTTTCCCCCAACCTCCCCTGCCACACCTCTAAGAAACCATTAATCCAATTTTTTACCTATCCTGGAATTCATATACAGAAAAACAGTAAACAAACAAACAAAGCAACAGTCATAATAAAGTAAAACAGATAAAAACCCTCATCAAAAAGAAAGCAGAAAATATTAAAACCTAGAACAAATTTAAATGCATCATCAGGGAGATCAGATGATAAGATATTATATCTTGACCTGTCCATCATAATTGACTTTCCAATACAGTGAACCCTCGTTTATTGCAGTTCATCGGTTCTAGACCCTACCGTGATAAATGAAATTCCGCCAAGTAGGATTCCTTATTTGTAAATCAAATATTTTCGTAGTTAGAGCATAGAGGACATGAAAAAACACCCTTTAGTCACCATGACACTCGTATTACCCAATTTATTAAACGAAAAAGGGAAAATACAGTAAAACATTGTGGACGTTACAATGATCATTTATTATTTATTATATTATTTATGGCATCTAGTTTACAGTATTACATATTTCACATACAGTATTATTATACATAGTTCTTACAAATACTGTAATCAATAGCCTATGAAATGACTTAAGGGATGTACTCTACAGGTGGGTCGCCGTCTTTTTCCTCTGAAGGAGCGGGTGTAGGCAGTGGGTGCTGTTACGCAAAAACCGCGATAGAGTGAAGCCGTGGAAGTCGAAGCGCGAAGTGGCGAGGGTTCACTGTACTCTGTCTGATAACAGGGCTATTCACATCCCTCAACTATGATCAGTGGGCATTCACAAGAAGCTTAGTTCATGTGTGGACCCTACAAATAGATTTTGGGCTTCCACTGTCATCCATAGCCTTCTGCAAACCAGGTGTTCACAATTTAAACTCTGATGCTATTCCTTCCTTTAGATTTGGAGTACCGTATATACTCGAGTATAAGCCGACCCAAATATCAGCCAAGGCATCTAATTTTACCACAGAAACTGCATAAAAATGTGCTGAAAAACTCAGCTTATACCAAAGTATAGACGCTACATCATTTACAATTCTTAGATCACACAAGCTGGTGTGCTGCTTCTATATGGACTTAGTTCCTACCTCACTTAGATGGCTGCTCGTTTGAAAATAAGCCTCTCAGACCCC